CTTGAGTTATGCCAGGCAAACTATACAGTTTTGTTCTCCACCAGTCGATGTAACGCTCTGCTTTGACCAACTAAAAACTTTAAACAAATGAAAAACATTTTAAATGTTAACCAGGGCAGTAACAATCGAGCAAAATCAATTCATTTACAGCTGTAAAATTTAAAGACATTTGATTGTAAACTTTAATTTGTTATTAAATAGAAGGCATCATTTAATAGCTAGCCCTTTAATAGTTTTACATGTCAGATCATCAACGCCTTCTTTCAAACAGTACTGATTTAAAGCCAGGCATAGTGAAGGCAGACAAGAGCTTGAAGAAAATAACGATTTTAAAATATTAAGGAGGGCGGCATGGTGGTGCAGCTGCTGCGTCTCAGCGAGCAGGCCACCGGTTCAAATCCTGGAGGAGGACCTTTCTGGGTGGAGTTTGTATGTTCTCTCGTTGCATGCGTGGGTCGCCAGTGCCCATGTCCAGCGAGGGGCGGGGTACAAGGACAGGTCTCCAACCCATCCCAGGGACACAGAGACAAATGAGACAAACAACCATTCACTCTCACGTAGAGACAATTTACCAGGATTTGAACCAGGGACCTGCTCGCTGAGAGGCAGCAGCTCTGCCAGTTGCGCCACCGAGCTGCCTTAAACAAAGCGTTCACCAGACACATTAACTCGGTTGATAACAACATCAAGTTCACCAGAGAGGATGCAAACGACAACAAACTGCCTTTTTTGGACTGTTAGGTTCAGATGAAGAGAGAGGACAGACTCAACATTGAAGTTTACAGAAAACCAACCCACACAGACCAGTATCTTCTGTTTGACTCCCACCATCCACTGGAACACAAACTCTCTGTCATCATAACTTTACAACATCGGGCCGAATGCGTCCCCACGAAGACAGAAGGTAAGGAAAAGGAACGGAAACACATTCAAGAAGCTCTTCAAACATGTGGATATCCTAACTGGGCTTTTGTCAAGTCAGTGAGGAAATCTACAAAACACACCAATAAACTGAAAAAAGAAAACGGCAGACGTAAAAACATTGTCATCCCTTATGTTGCTGGAGTATTAGAGAAATTCAGAAGGATTTTCAACAAACACAAAATCCCAGTACATTTCAAACCCAGCAGGACTCTCAGACAGAGGCTGGTCCACCCTAAAGACAAAACACCCATACACAAACAGAGTGGTGTAGTGTATGCGGTCCAGTGCAGCGAGGACTGTCCAGACCTCTACACTGGAGAAACTAAACAGCCTCTTCACAGACGCATGGCTCAACACAGGAGAGCCACCTCCTCTGGACAAGATTCAGCTGTTCACCTCCACCTCACAGATAAGGGACACTCTTTTGAGGACCAAAATGTGCACATTTTGGACCGAGAACACAGATGGTTTGAGAGGGGGGTGAAGGAAGCAATTTATGTAAAAAGAGAAAAGCCGTCTCTTAACAGAGGAGGAGGCTTCAGATTTCCACTTTCAAAAACCTATAATGCAACTTTAAAACAGATTCCCAGCCGGTTTTCACACCTGATGGGAACAGAGGGGCCTCGTCTGTGAATTAGAGGAACAAAAGACTCTTACTGTTAATGTGTTTAGGTGGGAATTGCCAATCTACATATGTGTGTGTGTCTTATCTCACTCAGCCTTATAACCTTGCGCTCCGATTTGAGCTAAAAGAGAGATGTCTCTGGTTCTTTTCGTTTTATTAGAAGTTTTTAAACTTTAAAATAATTACTATTTTTTCCACAAAACTTAACTCATATGTTTTGGACATGCCCTGGCTACCTATTGGGTGGTTTTCATTCAATATTTATTTAGACAGGCTAATCCCATTGAGCCTCAGGGACTCATTTACAAGAGAGACCTGATAAAACCTTGTCAGAATGGTTAAATATTAATGCAGTATACAACCCAATGCAGCAATGGCTATATTTGGTGTCTGTGATAGGAATTACCTCACAATTAGGAAGTCATACACACATCATTGCGTTCACTACTTTGCTTGCAAGCAGAAGGATATTATTACATTGGGAATCCAAAGACCCCCCTCAAGCCGGTCTATGGCTAGGAGATCTGATGCAGTTTATACAACTAGAAAAGATTAGGCATACACTAAGAGGTTCTAGGGACAAATTTTCTATCTGGAATCTAGTGCTGACATATATCTAGACAGACTCAAAGCCAGCCTTTTTAATCTCATCAAGCAGGGTGGTTTTTTTTTTTATTGTTATCTTAACTATGGTTGCCCATGCAAAATATTTTAAATAGTGTGGGGCCTTCTATTTTGTGGAGTACAATTCATGTTTTTGTTTACCACATGCCCTTATGGGACATCCATCCATCCATTATCTTTCACGCACTTCTTCCTTTTCAGGTCGCAGAGGTCACTGGTGCTCATATCCAGCAGTCACTGTGCGAGAGGCGGGGGACACCCTGGACATGTCGCAAGTCCATCACAGGGCCACATAGAGACAAATGAGACAAACATCCATTCACTCTCTCACGCTCTCCTAGGACAATTTAGTTACCATTCAGCCTAACATGCATGTTTTTGGTCTGTGTGAGGAAACTGGAGTACTGGGGGATAACCCACATACAGAGTGAACATGCAAAGTCCACCCAGAATGGCCCCCAGCCGGGATTTGAACTTGCGACTTTCTCACTGAGAAGCAGCAGCTGCCACCCAAACATCACAATATTTAAATTAAATCTACAAGCTATTAACAGTAGCACGGTGGACATGGACCACATGGATGCAGTTTGCAGCCGAGTGTGAAGCAGCTGGAATGAGACTCAGTTCCTCTAAGTCTGAGGCCATGGTTCTCACTGAAAATGGGTGGAATGCCCCTCCAGGTCAGGAGGGAGACTTTGCCTCAGATGGAGGAGTTCAATTATCTGGACGCTTTGTTCACAAATGATAGTAGGATGGAGTGGGATTGACAGATTTGGGGCCTCAGCCTCAGTAATGAAGGTGTTGTGCTTCAGTCAGTCGTGGTGAAGAAAGAGGTGAGTCGAAAGCCAAAGCTCAGGATTTACTGGTCTGTCTAAATTCCGCCCATCGCCTATGGTCATGAGGTTTGGATCATGACCGAAAGGATGAGATCCTGGATACAAGCAGCCAAAATGAGCTTTTGTAGGGTGGCTGGGCTCAGCCTTAAAGATAGGATAAGGAGCTCCATCATCTGGAGGGAGCTCGGAGTAGAGCCGCTGCTCTTCTGCATCAAAAGGAGTCAGTTGAGGTGGTTCGGGCATCTGATTATGCTGCCTCCTGGACACTTCCCTCATCTTCTCTGGCCTGGGGACTCCTCTGAGTCCCCCAGAACGCGTTGGAGTGATGTCTGGGTTTCTCTCCTGGCCTGTAGCCTCCGCAAGCAGACTACGGAAAAGCAGCACAAGATGGATGATGTATTTCACATCATCGAGAGCTGCAAGATCAACTCGAATGAAAAATCTGTGATGAAATAATATATTAATTAGACCCAAAAGCAAACAAATGATACTGTACACAAGTGATTCTGATTAGGACATGTACTGTATTTAGTTCCTTTATTGTTTTTAATATTACTGCATCAAAAGTCATCATGCATTTTCAATACTTCAAACATACAACCAGAAAGGATTTGGCGTGTTCTACATTAGGCATAAAGCTTAATGAACTTTGTTTATTTCAACTTGTCAAGAGAATATTTTATGTGTAATATACACTAACAGGGTATACTGGTCTCACACTGAAAACAGCCTCATTGTTCATTTAATCTGAAATACAAACATAGCCTTTAAATAATCCACCCAGAACCAATGTGGGGATGCAAAGCTCTGCAACACTGTGTAAGAAAGAAAAAAAAAATAACCATTTGTTTAATTTTCTTTGGCACTTAACGTTTAAAAACCAATTGTTACTTCACAGCACCACACCAATACATAAAGAAACAAAATCCCGTTAACAGTTAAAAGCCTGTCGAGGTACATTTCAAATACCTGGATTATTTACAACAAATATATTCAACACTGCATGAACTGATTCAGTGTTTGCAAAGGTCCATTTACATGATGCTAATCTTTGCAAGTCAGAAACTTTACATTCCACAGCCATGTTTTATTACAATAACTGAAATTCCCATCATAACAGCAAGAAAGCAACACAACCATTTACAAAAAGAAAGAAAAAATAATCTGCAATTACTCTAATGTTGTCTATTCATAGATAATTTGTGCTTTCGACTCATGCTAGCAATCACTGTAAAGGTAGATCAATTCATGCACTTTGTAAAGTCACAGCTTAAAGCATATATCGATTTTTTATTGTCTACAGGGGTTTTGGGTAATAAGGCAAATAAAGTCACAAGGCGAATGTGGACAACACACTAAAAAATGTCATCATTGAGAGAAATGGCTAAAATATCTTTTTTTTTTTATCTGTGCATAAAAAATATTTCTTACATCAAAGATACCCTGAGCAGTAAATCTAAGTTGTGCATTTTTTTTTAAACTAAAAGACAGAATGGCAAGGCAGGTCAGGCATCGCTGACATGAAAATATTCAGTTTGTTGATCATTACAAGTACCAAAAATCAAGTTTATTCACATTCATCAACTGCTATTAAAGTGCAGCAATCTGCAATGCTGGTTAATGCATGTTGACCCAGACAGTTAACATGATGAATAATTCATGCAAAAGTTCTCAGGTGCAAGTCCGATTATGAGTTATGGTGCATCCACTACAATGTTCATTCCTCTTATTGCTCAAAGTTTCCCTTAAAATGCACAACCATCGACGCCCAGAACTCAGTCTTTAAGGAACATTTGATGGCTCATTCTGGGATAGTTTTAATTATTAGCTGGGGAAGGCACATGAGGATGAGGTTCAGCTTTAGGATGCTAAGAAAACAGAACATCTACATCTTTAGGCAGAAGTTTAAATAAAGAGCAGCTTGTAGGACAAAATCTCAATATTTACAAAAATCACACCTAAAGCAAACATTCTCGTCATAAACAGCCTTTTATGTTAAAGATAAAAATTATGCGCGCAATATAAACCCGAGTGTTCGCGTTTATTTTTTGTCTTTAATATTTAAACCCATATAAAGAAAGCGATCTCATCCAAGTCTACGGGGTAGTCAGTGACGTGCATGGGGCCTTTATCAAAATATTCTCCCTTGTAGCTCTTCCATCGTCCTGCGGGGAAGTAGATGTCTCTCTCTTGCTTTCCAGGTTCCAGCACCGGAGCCACCATCAGGTCATCCCCAATAAGAAACTGGGAGTCGATCTTAAAAGCCGCCTCGTCGTCATTGGCGAGCCACCACAGGGGCCTTATGATTGGGTCTCCAGTATCAAGAACCTCACCTGCCAGTTCAAGAACCCTTGGAGCCACCAGAGTTTCATGAAGGTTGGTGAACTTCTGGGCTATCTGTATCACCTAGAGACGAAGGTACATTAATGCTTTGTTAGACTCAGAATCACAAAACAACAAATCCCTTTTTCTTCCATTTTCTTTTAGCATTTTTCAAGTTTTTGCATAAATCAACTCAGTTTGTCACCCGTCGTGGTTCAGAGGACAGTTAACTGAGAAAAGGGGTCAAAAAGTGCATGCCTTTCTTTTCATTCCTTCCTTCCTTTCCTCTTTTGCTTCATTCCTGTCCTCTTTTCCTTTCTTCCTTCCTTTCCTCTTTTCCTTCTTTCCTTCCTTTCTTCTTCTCCTTCCTTCCTTTTGTTTCTCTTTTCCTTCCTTCCTTCCATCTTTTCCTTTCTTCCTTCCTTCCAACTTTTCCTTCCTCCCTCCCTTCCCTATTTTCCTTCCTTTCCTCTTTTCCTTTCTTCTTTTCCTTCCTTCTTTCGATCCTTCCTTTCCTCTTTTCCTTCCTTCCCTCTTTTTCTTTCTTCCTTCCTTCTTTCCTTCCTTCATTCATTCATTTGTGAATTACTGCTGGATATGGACACCAGTGACCCAAAAAGGAAGAAGGGAGTAAAGATAATGGATGGATGGATGGATGGATGGATGGATGGATGGATGGATGGATGGATG